ACTCTCCTCGACAGGGATGTCCTTCCACACAGACAACTATAAAATTTTGAGCCAGTAGACATTCAAATGTAGGCTAAACCCAGTAAAGATACACTCCCTAAGTATACTTTTTTTTTAAAAAGATTTATTTACTTATTCATACAGAACTGGGGTACAGGCCAGAGATGTGGAGGATGAGAGGGACAGAGTGGGGAGCAGAGCAGACAGATCGACGAAGTACACTGCTGAGGGGAGCAGCGGGCGGGCCAGGAGAGGTCTGCCTCGCCATGTGGTCACCTCCGGGGCAGGCGGGAATCGAACTCATGAGGAAGCGGCTTTAGATTCTCAGTGCTGTGCTTTAACCCGCTGCACCACCAGGGAGGGCCCCCTTAAGTATACTTTTAACAAAGAATTATGAAAGACAAAAGAGGAACAACTTTGGATTTTAGAACCTGTGCAAGCACTGGTAATCATAACCAAGTCAGAGAAAAGGAAAAAGAAAATAATTTCACCAGTGGAATTGAGTATATTAGTTCTGTTTATGCTGAAACAGATTTGTAAGGGAATGTTTTATTTTAGGTTGTCATAAATCAGTTTTAAATCCTGTGGATATAGATACATTGATAGCTAAGGCTTAACCAAGGAATATTTGTTTAATTAAATTCTCATCTGTTTGAGGGTATATTAATCATTTAACGGTATACGTAGAAATAAACAAAACAGACACAGGGAAGAATGTGCCTAATGGCAATATTTCTTTCTCGTTGCAAATCAGCAGTGTGTGTAATAGAAAAATTAAATCCAGATTTGCTCAAAGTAAATTGGAGACTGGTGTTATCATCTTTGAATTACATAAACATTATTTACATTTGTTATCTCAACAGAGTTACCATGAAGATCAAAGTTAAAAAGGTAAACTATACCTGTTTTTCAAACAGATATACACACATACACACAAATGGTTATAAGAATAGCTTCCCATTGAGTTTTATCTCATTATAGATTAACTGAAATAGAATAACAGATATTTAGATTTAGGGTAGTCGATTATTCAAGGTGTGTGTTATATTGGAACTTTAAAGATTCCAATTTTCAGTGTGAAAAAGGATATTAGAATTCAAATTCTGTTTTAAATTATAGATGTTATGAAAAACACCTTTCTAGTGAGTTAACAATTTCTCTCTAACCCTTTCACACTGTAAGATGCTAGGATTTACTTGTGGTCTCATGGAGTCTCTCAGTGGTTTTTGTTTAACGTTTTGTACATAAATATGGAATTCTTGGTGTGCATGTGCACACATATCTGTGTAGTATCAGTATTAGAGAGGTAGGATACTATTTTTGTGTGTGTGTGTGTGTGTGTTTTGTGTTTTTTTTTATTAAAAAGTTTATTTTTACATCATTTTGCACATTTTTTTTTCCATCTCAATTGTAATCCCCGCGGGTTTCCCATCACCAAATCACCCCTGTGCCATCACCATAGTCCAGTGCACTTCCCTCCCTTCCCCCCCACCCCCCGTTTTTGATCCCATTCCCCACTCCACCCCCACAGAATGTCTCTGGTATATGGTTGTTCATTATTTTTGTTATTTTCTCGCCTGGTCCATTATACTCCTGCTATGAGTGAAACCATCCGGTATTTTTCTTTCTCTTTCTGGCTTATCTCACTCAGCATGATCTTTTCCAGCTCCATCCAAGTTGCTGCAAAAGACATGTGTTTCTCTTTTTTGGTTGCTGAGTAATATTCCATTGTATATATGTACCACATCTTTCTAATCCAGTCATCTACTTTTGGGCATTTGGGCTGCTTCCATGTTTTTCCAATTGTAAATAAAGCAGCAATAAACATAGGGGTACAAGTATCTTTTTCAATCAGTGTTTTTGTATCTTTTGGGTAGATACCTAGGAGTGGGATTGCTGGGTCATAGATACTATTTTTTTTGACAATATGGATTAGATTGCAAAGCTGAGGGCCCTCCCTGGTGGCACAAAGGGTTAAAGTGCAGCACTATGAAGCTATCGGCAGCCACTGCAGCCTGAATTCAATCTCCGGCCAGGAGGTGACCCACAGGGTGCAGCAGACCTCTCCTGTCTCTTCACTGCTCCCCTCAGCAGTGTGTTTTAGTCAATCTGCCTGTTCTTCTCCCCACTCTCTCTGATGAATCCTCTCACTCCCACACCATGGCCTGTACCCCAGTTCTTGTATGCATACATTAGTCTTAAAAAAAAAGATGGAGAAGGTGAATCAGGGAGAAAGTGAATGAGCTAATCAGGAGGGCAAGATTGGTGACTGAGGTAGAAGGCAAGACTACAGCAGGGGTCTTCGTGGTCCTCCCTCACACCAGCCCCATCCTCACTTCTCTACAATTCTAGAAAAATTAGAAGGGCATTTTAAAAATAACAGCATGGAGGAAACATTAGTATTCTGACTCAGAGTTTCAGAACTAGAAATAGACTTAAGCATCTATGATCCCAAGCATGACATTTTCAGATGAGTAAACTAAGCTCAGAAGAAGATAAGTGCATTGCTAGTCAACATCAATGACTCCTGACTTTTAGTTCAAGATTGCTTTTATGAGCATATGCTAGGGGAAATCTAGTAAGAATTGGACCTAGAACCTCTTTGCGATGAATCTTCACTGGAGGCAGAGGTACTGCATCTGCTGCTGAGATCAAGGTTAGGAGAGAGAAGTAAACTAAATGGATCCTTTTACTTGAAGGGATCAAAACACTATCCAGGAAGAGGAGTCATCCAATATTACGTGGTGTTTACCTTTGATCTTTTTAGAGGTAATTTTAGAAGTCTTCACCGGGCAAAGCCAGATCCTTTCCAGATGGTGCCTTAAGCCCATAATGGTCCTGAAGAACCAGGCTCTGTGTCCTGTGGGCACTGCCTTTGTTTTATGTATGTTTCAAGCTCTTCAGATTAATTGCGAATCTTTGGCCTCAGGTTGCACTTGATGTCATAGGTCTTTCTGGTTTCAGTTATGTGTGCACAGGAGAATTTGCTTTGCCTGGCTTTGAAGCTGTGTTGATGCAGTTTGACCTTCCAAACTGTAAAAATCACCTACCAGACCATTGAACGTTGAGCTTCCATACACGAGAAGTTATAGGACAGGGAACAGTCTGGATAGTCGGCTTGATTTACAGTTCTCTTCTCCAATATTAATGCACTCTGACCACACCAAATTACCTGCCCTGAAGAGATGCACTTGGCTGCATGTAGGTCAAAATGTTGATGAATATGTGTACTGTAAATAAATTTGCTATCACACAGGGGATTTCCCATTAGGAAATATCATTTGATAAATACATATTGAACACCAGTGTGATAGGCACTGTGGTTTGACCCTGGGTGAAAAGGGCAGAAATGTTGATGTCTTCCTGCAACTAAATGATGCCTTGCTAGGGGTAGGAAATAATTCTGAGCTCTGAATTCTCTCTTTTAGTCTATTCATATCTAGATGTTTTTAATGAATTATTAAAGTAGAGCATACACAGAAAAGTACACAAGCCAAGTGCACAACTCAGAATTTTCATCACATGAACCCACCTATGAAACCAGTTACCAAGTTAATAAAGAAAATGACCAGACCCCAGAGCCTTTCCTAAATTTCCGGTTACTAAGCTTCTCGAGGCAACCATTTTTGACTTCTGACACCATGGATGAGTTTTGCCTTCTTTTGAACTTCATAGTGGAATCCCATGGTATATGATTTTCTGTGTCTTCCTCGTTTGCTCAATATTATGCTGGTGAGACTCATCTGAGTTGTTCTGTGTAATTGGGTTCATTCTCCTTGCTGTGTGGTATTCCACTGTGTATTACAAGTGATTTATCCATTCATCATTAAAGATATTTGGAGCATTTCCAGTTTGGGGCTATTACCAATAGTGTTGCTCTTATTAGGATTCCTGTTCCTGTCTCTAGATGAACAGTTCTGTGAGCACTCACCTGTGCCGGAATGCTGGGTGGACATCTCTGTATCTGCATTACATACTGCCAAGCAGTTTTCTAAATTGTTTATACCAAATTATATGCCTACCCACACTCTATGAACGTTCCAGTTATTTCATATCTCTGACAAATTTGGTTTTATGTGCTTCTTCATTTTTGTGTGTATGTTAAGTTAAAAAAAAAAAAGAGTAGACTAGAACCACTGGGGCATGTGATAAACAGAGACATGAAAAGGTTCACAGCAACAGTGCGAATCCCTTGGATTTGGGTCTATGCCTGTGATTCAGAATGGCCTCATACTGAATTACCAACTCTGCTTACTGTTGATGACATGAAAGCCACTGTTTACAGTGGAAAGCCCTGCCGAAGCTTGCTTTTCCTCATACATTCAGAGTTGTGGTTTTTGAAGCCAGCAATGGTGGATCACCCCTTTTTTAATAGAAGTTAGAGCAAATTAAAATATTTACAGGCCAACTGTACACCAGAGATATTTTATGGGGGTGGAAGGGGGAATGGGATCAGAACTGCAGTGGGGAGAATGCACTAGACTGTGGTGATGGCACACGGGTGAACTGGTGGTGGGAAGCCCATGGAGATTATAACTGAGCTGAAAAAATGCACAAAATGAAGAATGATGTAAATATATATATATAATAAAAAATATTTACAGGCCACTTTTTAAAATTTCCAAATGGACATAGCTTTCTTGAGATCAGGGGAAGAAGCGAACATTTGGATGTGAGATAACCTACCATATCAAGGGGAAGGCTGGAAATGAGAAAGTGGGAGCAACTATTGACCAGTGAATTACACACAAACAACTGTATTTGAGAGCTGGCTCTGGAGAGATAGCTGTCATCCCAAAGTTCACTTGTCAACCCTATTCTATAGCTAGGAGAGTTAACAAGACCCTTCAGAGCAGGCCATATTGGCAGCCCACCCCCAGCTCCCTCGCACTTGCCTGGGAGGAATTGTGAGTAAAATGGCGTATCAGTGAAGGACCCAGCTGGAATGAAGAGCCATTTCCTTCTGGAGAAGACACTGACGGTTTCCTTTTTCTTTCCAGTCTAAGGTTTACACTCGCACACCAACCATGTACTTGGACTTCACGTTGGACCAAGGAGCAAAGCATTGCCAACCTATTCCTAAAGGTATGATGGATTCTGGGGCTTAGTGAACATTTCAGGATAAAAACAAACAAGCAGAGGGCCATCACTCTAGAATGGGCTCACTTTTCAATCTCAGCACTGTGAACTTTAATTATAGCAAATTTAATTATTAGCAAATACTGCTAATTTAGAAAACTAGGATGAGTACATAGAATGTTAGCGTTGGGGTCACTGGGCCACAGCCCTTGTTGACAAGCATGAACACATAGGCCAGCCATGTTAGGCCATATAACCATGTGCCTGTCCTGTTGCCCAGTGTGGGAGCACACACTGCTGATGTACAGCCATCCGGGGGGGGGGCAGTAAGAAGTCATGAGTGAGCCAATTCCTCTTCCTTGATGCTCCCCTGAATTTCTGTGTTGGCAAAATGGAGCAGGGCTGGATGGAGAATAGCATACACTCTCTGAAGTTTACAACAATGAAGTTGTCTAAGGGTGCATTCTCATTACGTAGCACCGTCATTAGTTGACACATGACCATGGTTACTTGCTCATGGCCACAGGAAGACCTGCTGGGCACTACAGGACTGTTACCCATGTCTCCTGATTTCTCATCCACTGCCAACTGACCCACTGTGTTCCAGAGGCCAGTCCCATCTGCATTACTTACTAGCAAGGGCATTCTGGATTGGGATATGGACTTTTTTGATAAAGGCATTGCTATGGGGTCTCTCTCTCTCTCTCTCTCTCTCTCTCTCACACACACACACACACACACACACACACACACACACACACACACAAGCAATCCAGATATCATAAAACAATTGCTATTTCCAGACTTGATCACCTTAACTTCCTGTATCACACACACGTTAACTGGTAAATTTACACAGGCTCATTTTTATCAAGTCATTCAAATCACAGTCATCCTTTGTTTTGTTGTTGTATTAAAACCACCTTCCCAGGTCAGACCCCATTGTAAAATCCAAGGACTGTCTAAGCCAATTTCATTTGGATTCTTCATTGCTTCAAATACTCCTTGAAATGTGTAAGGCATTGGCTGGGTTCTCGACAAGTTTTGTTTATAATACTCTGATGTTTTGTTTCTCATGGAAGAGGGATTTGACATGTATGTCTGGGTTATGTTTGGCTTTTGCATAAGCTTTGAGGCCAAATTTAAAGTTGACTTTGTCACATTACTGAAGGAATGGAGTAGAAGTCGAGGCATCCTCTGCCACCATCCCCTGCTCGGCACCAGGAGAGGGCCTGTGTCCCAAGGGATGTCCACTTAACAGGGGACTGCACACATTTCTCAGGCATCAGACTAGGTTTTATCCAAATTCCTTCCCATAAATAGTCTTGGAATCAATGTTGACCATCGCCTTTTTTCCTTTGGGCAAGGCACTTTTCTGTGGAGTTGCACTAACCTTGCAGAAGACAGATGTTTCATGCAGTGATGATTTGGAAGCAGTTGATATCAGGAGTTGAGCTGGACGATGCATCACTTACAAAGAATCCAATTTGTTGAGTCTCTGACAACACCAGATTCCTTGTTCATGGGTCACATGGTTTTCATTTTAGTTCTTGGATAAAATAAGAATAAGTAGTTGTTGGGTCTTTCTTTCTTTCTTTCTTTCTTTCTTTCTTTCTTTCTTTCTTTCTTTCTTTCTTTCTTTCTTTCTTTCTTTCTTTCTTTCTTTCTTTCTTT